GGAATTGGTAAAAAATAGAAGATACAGCAATAAGTTTCTGTAGAGTTATATGAATGGATAAAAAGAGAGGCAAAATTGTGTAAAACAGCAATTAGCAATTGGTTTATGAAGATGCTGCCAAGCTTTGTGGAAGTAGCTGATTGAATAAGAAATTTATAAAAGACATCGTACCTAAAGTTATAACAGATTCTGATGTACAGCTTCTGATGTGATAGCTTTGGATGTAACAACCTTATGGTCTCACCCTTCCATGTGACTGATTTTGCAATAAACCATCTTTTAACCACCTTATTAGTCAACCCTGTCTACTCTGTATCCTGAACAAAGGGCTATTAATGATATTTTCTAAATTCAAAGCAAAAAGTAAAACACACAAAAAAGTAGTTCTTGGCTTACCTAAATGTAATTAAATGTTTGGTATATAATACAAAGTTCAATCTTGATTTTTGGTACCAGAAAATACTATCTGAAGACTCAAGAGCACCAACAGCACACATCATACCTGCCTCCCAAAATTAAGTTTGTTTTTCTTCTACCAGCCTGAGGCTACTTCATTCTTTTGTATGAATTAATTCTTGCACTTTTTTTTTTCTTATTAAATAGACATATATTCAAGTCTAGGCTCTTCTGTGAATAGAACTTTTCTTGATTCCTATCAGTGTTTCATTCCATTGTTTGTTTTTTAAGTTATAATTTCCTTATTTCACACTGTTTTAACTACATAGTCTGCCTATGTTAACAGAATAACTAGCGATTTTGGGGGCCAACTAGGAAGGCTTTAAAAATATTTGATTAAGCAATTCATTTTACTAGTGTTACAACAGCTTCACTTGATTATTTCAAATGAGTGTTGGTGCATATCCACTTGCAAAATACTGAGAAGTTAAATAATCTCTCCTAAATAACAACTTTCACTGGCAGAAACACATGGGCTAAGGAATACAAACAGGATCCAGGAAGACAAATGCCATGTTTACCCAGCAAAATTTACCACAATACCTTTCCTGGGGTGAAGTTCAAGCCACTATTCTGAAACCAAAGTGATTTAATTCCTGAACAGCATCTGTGGATTTTTCCCATCACCACATTCAGCTATTCCTGCCCAGTAGTTGCTCCAATAAGATAGCTTCCCAAGGGCTTCTGAACTCCCTGCTCCAGAACTAGGAGTAATATTGTAAGGTCTCAGAGACACAGCATGAACTACAACTATAGTTAGCAGTAATGCAGTGCAACCTGCCATTAAAGCATCTATTCCATTTTCTCTGTCAAATTCCTGAAGCTGAGGCTGAACTCCAGCCTCCTAACCAGAAATACTCCCAACCCTACTCCTTTTTATGTGACGACCTTTAATGTACAGACTGCTTTGAAGTCTTCATCTTTCTCAACCCTCCATTTACTTATGTCTTAGATGGGAGATGGATTCATCTCCTCTGGAGCAGAACAGATGTATTTTGATTTGATTCCATTAGAAAGGTAGGCTAAGACTGAGACCTCAAGTCTAACAGAAGTCCTCAATTACAGCTGAAAGTAAAATGGGTAAGAGATAGGAATATTAAAAATTCCAAACCCCCATCAGTGGAATTTGCGCAAACTTCCAAAAACCCCATACAACTTTGTTTTGAACACTTGCTGGGATGGATCATCCATAACTTCTTTAGGCAACTGTCCCAGCACCTCATCACTCTCAAAGCAAAGAGTTTATTTCCTGTCTTTGCTCACCTAAATCTGCCCTCTGTCAGTTTGAAGTCTATTCACTCCATGCCCTTGTAAAAAGCTTCGCACCAGCTCTCTTTAGGTATTGGAAGGTGCTCCAAGGTTCCAAGGTCCCCCAGAGCATTCTCTTCTCCTGGCTGAACAACTCTTTCACTCCATTTTCATGGGAGAGGTGCTCCACCCCTCTGAGCATCGTTGTGGCTCCTCTGCACTTGCTGCAGTGGGACTACATCTATACTGTGCTGAGCTCCCAAGAGCTGGATGCAGACATTCAGATGGGGTCCCACCAAAGCAGAGCAGAGGGGCAGAACCAACAACATTTACCTGCTGGTCATGCTTTTGATGCACCCCAGGATATGGTTGTTTTTCTGGGCTGGAAATAGACACTGTCAGCCCATGTTTAGTTTTTTGTCAACCAACAACTGTGAATCATTCTTCTCAGAGTTGCTGTCAACTGACTGCCTACACAGCCTGTACTTGTGCCTGGGATTGCCCTGACCCATGTGCAGGACCTTGCAATTGGACTTGTGGAATTTTATGGGGTCCACTTCTCTTCTGCAGGCCCACTTCTCAAAATCCCTCTGGCTGACATACCTTCCTACCAGTATTCTAGCTGATGTCATTGAAAAACGTGCTGAGGGTGCGCTCAAACTCACTGTCCATGTCACCAACAAGATGCCAGAAGATATTAAACTATGACACCACCATGCAACCAAATTCCTGAGACATGAATGAAAGACCCTGAAGATGAGACCCACAAAGTACCTTCTGCCACAAAACCAGACATGCTCTCAACATTTAATTACTAAAGTGTATTCATTCATTTTTCTAATCAAGTAAGAAATGAATCAATTATGGAAAACATTTTAATTCCTCAAGAATTCTTTAATCAAAAGCTTTAACAACTCTATCCAGAAATACAAATAATTTTTCCAATTTGATGGTAATTTATTTTGCCTTTAGTGATTTTAAGGGAAAAGCAAGCAAGAGACTGTGAGGTAATCTGCAGTAGGAACTGCTCACTAACTAGGATTGCCTGTAAAACCTAGTATACTGAATGGCTGAATATCAGACCCTTTTAGGAAAAGCTGCTCAAGAGATGTGACCATGAGGCAGTTATTTCTGAATTTATTTTCAGTGTAAACAGAGATAAAAGTTGGGCTTCCAAGCATAGAAACGAATATTTCTACTGCAAAGGGTTTATTTTAAAAGATCTGTCATTGTTCTGATTGCTGTCATTGTTCATTGCAATACCAAGGGCAATGCTGCCAGGATTTGAGTGTGGACACACTTTTTCTGTACCTCAATTCTCAAAAGAGTGAAATAAAATATTTCTCATTAAACAATAATGCCCCTACATCTAGTAATAATTAATAAATATATTACCTATTACCCTAATGCAGGTTTATACCATTGCTTATATAAAGATACTGCACGAATTATTGATTCGGTTCTCTGTAAATGTCTTACAGTTGTTTATGTAAGAGATAATTACAAGAAATATAAGAAAAAACATATGAGCTAGCTGATAATTCAGGAGCAGTCACATGAAGTTACATTATTTTAAACTATATTTGTATTACAAACAACTAGCCTGGAAATAGTTACCTTACATTAAATCATTGTCAAAAATCTCTGTTGAGAACATCTAAGATATTAGTGATCTTAATTTATCTCAGTGTATGCACCGAATACAAATACCCAACTGTTACTGGCTGAAATCCTACCCCATTTAAATTAATTCTTCTACCACTTCAGTGCAGCTTGGGAATTCATTAAGTGGTGCAGAAACACTAAGGCCACTGTGACCCATCTTCAACAGAAATGTAAAATCAAGATTTATTATTTACAACTCCAATGAAGCATCACTGTTTTTCAAGTAACACCTAAGATTTATTTTATAGAATACCTTTTAGCTTATTTGTATTAGGTGAATACAAAGAAAGGGAAGAGATGCTGTCATGGATTATTTTCAGTGTTGGCCAGTGTACAGTAAATATTGACCAGTTGCTAACCAAGTCCTTATTTACCTGACTAAAATGACCACTATAACATGCAGTCTTTCATAAAAGCAACAGAGATGTCAGAGATTGGAAGTGAATATTGTTTTAAAGAATTTCATTCCTGGATAATATTTTTGTTTTAAACTGCAGTTTAATCTCCCCTAAAAGAGCAAAAAGTTGCTAAATGAATGTTGAATCTAGGAAAATGTTAGTAATATATCATTTTCCAAAGCATGAAAGAACAATGTCAGTTCTATTGCATGTGTCTGTACAGAGTGGAGGCTCTGCACAGATTGATTCCAAACCATAGCAGAAATGTAATCAAAATCAATGGTTGTTGTGAGCTTTCAAAGTAGTGCTATATTTTCCAAACCTTAAAAATATCCTGTAGTAAACTCAGTTTCATCTGCAAGGTTAGATAGATCTCACTAACAACCTCACAAATGCAGACAGATATGAAACTAACTTGTCAAACGAACTACTGCATCCCAAAGAGCAAGGTCAAATATTGTTTCAGCTTTTAAATGAATATTGTATAGGCAGTGTCTTCCTTTGAACTTGGTTTTATATTCTACAGAAATATGCTACCTATGGCTGTTAGGAAACTTGATAATCAAGCATGCAAGCTCAGTAACTGCTTTATGTATTTTAGATTACCTACCTGCAGAGATTGGACATTTTCCTTTTACATGGATGACTAAATCTACTTTCTGGAAATATCACACATTTAACTAAAGTCTCTGTATAATTTCACGTGCTCATTGAAATTTATCATTCAATAATGAAAAATCATAGCTGAATATATCCAAAACAACAGAAAACTCACATCAACATTCTTGGATGCTGCAAATCATTTGCTATGTAAACTAGACTTTGTTGATCAGCATTCAGCGTTCAGGAAAGTGGCTCATTTATTTTAACTGTAACTTTCATTAATGTACTTCTTTAAAACTTTGTTGCCAGCATAGAGCTGGATATTTATTAAAGGACCTATAAGTTTCCCAGTTCTTGTTATCACTATTATTTTTCTCAGACTCCCACATATAATGTCATCAATTACTTAAACAGAAAGGAAGACTAGAAAAATTCAAGCATGAAGCAGACAACTTAAATCCCACGCAAAGCAAAAAAAAAAAAAAAAAAAAAAATCAGAAGTCATATGCTTCAGCCACATCTGGCTGTAGAAAGGTTAAAATGCAGTCAGAACCAAGTGCATTTTTAAATGAACAAGCTGCTTCTGTGTATAAACATGCACACTGGCTTACTGCAAACAAATGGGTGTACCTGCAGAGACACGGGGACAGTCTGGCAGCATGGACTCCACCGATGTGTCCAGGGGCTCGGAGCTGGACACCCAGTTACAGCAGTTCTGTAAGAGCAGACAGGCAATTCTTGGCATAAGTCAAAAACTCAGAGCAAAAATAAATGCAGATGTTGTGAGGACAACGATCACATCAAACTACTCAAAACGAATTTACGCGGCAGTCACAATAACAACTGGACAGTACACTACACTAACTTACGCTTACTGAGGATGAAATACTGTAATTTCATACTAAGTAAGAACATAATTCAGCGGATTTGTAATGTGCTGAAGTATCATATTTTTTAAGTGTGTATTTGAGTGCCAGTGGACTTGAGTAGGTGCTTGGACCAATTAAGTGCCTGAACTACAAGCTTTAAGATTTTCTGAGTTGGTGTTGATATAAACAGGTGTTGGTATAAACACTGAGCCTGCTCATTTGCTAACATTAAGAAATCAGAATTTTCCAGGGTATTTTGATGGCAAACACTGTGGAAGGAACATTCATGAAAATACGAAACAACATACTATAACTAAACAGAAACCATCAAGATATAACATTAATATTCAAATAATTGGAAATATAGCTGAGATGAATGCGAGTGAACATTAAAAAAAGGCAAATACTGGTCTCTGGGGAATTATATTCACAAAGCCTTTACATTTACCTTTCATTCCTGAACCTCTGAGAAGGATGAATTTACCATGAATTTTCTAAATGTTTTGCTCTGAATGGTATCTAATCAGAGTAGTTTATAAACTGAACTATTAAATTATATGCTTTCAATAAAATATGATGAAACTACACCAAATCTACTGAACTAAAGATTTAATTACAAAGCAACTACATTTTTAATAAGATTACCAGCTGAACAACAAGAACCATGTAGCTTGCTCTATTAAAAATCTGAGTTTTTCCTTTCTGAAAACCTGATTAACTTCATTAAGTGGAAAAGGTAAAAAAACGTGCAACCTTTTGGAAAGACCCAATCGATTTTCAGACAGATTTCTAAAAAAAAATATCATCAGTTAATGATAATGAAAATGGACAAATACTCTTCTGGTAAACAGCATGTATTGTGTATTTGTAGATGCTTGCTGCCCTAGTTGTGCACCATGGAGTCCGTCCTCACTGTGGAAAGATCCTTGACTGGTAGATAAAGTATCTTATTGTATTTCCTTAATTCATTCTGTCTGGAAGAAGATGTCAGCTGCGTTGCAGTGAGGAGAGAATTTCAAAGGCTTCAGTCCCCACCAATAAAGGGCGAGGAATGGCTTTTGAATAGATTTGTCAAGGCAACCCTACTGTTCTGGGACCAGGGAGAGCAGGGACAACATAAAGGAAGGGTTGCTGTATGAGATTAGAAAGTGAAGTTCACAAAGCATGGCAGATTTTTGTAAGAAACAGTAGATCAATGAAACTATTGAACTCAATGGAAAAAGAAAAAAACAAACACACTATCCAGTAATATAACATATTTAGTAAAAAACTGTTAAAATTGAAGTATTTCATGAAGGTTTTAAGATTTAAAGTAGTAAAGCATTATAATTTTATGATTTGCATGTGTAATTTTAATTAACACTGAATGTGAAATTGCAAATGTAAGGTGGTAGAAGTTACAAAAGAAGTAGAATTTTTATGAAGTATTACATTCATTTGAAATAAGTAAAATTAATATTAACTACTGATAGAACACTACATCAGAGAGCTGGAGATAATACAGAAGATTAGCACACAATTAACTATCTTTTATATACAATGTGACACTTGTCTGTAAGAAATACGTATTCTCGAAAGCAGTGTCAAGATATGTAAATGGATGATTTGTTTTATCATTCATCACAGCTCCTAATAAATTCAAAAATCATGACATCTATAGGTACTAAAAATACGCCACCAGTGATACAGGAGAAATAGCTCAAATGAAGAATTACTTTATTTTAACAATTCATTCTTTCAATGACAGCAATTAGTCCTACAGACAGGCAGCGATTAGGTGTATATTTTAATTATTATTCATTTTACCACTAGCCTTAAACCTGATTAAAGTAAGAGATATCCAGGTGATATGCTAGACTTAATACCACTCAGCCACATTTCACATATGTAAAATTCTTCTTTCTTATAGGAGATTTTTAATGCTAATGTAAGTTATGACACTCCATCCACTTTTTAGGCCATTAATCATTTAACTTATTCTTTATCATCTACTTTCTGCAAATGAAATTAAAGGTAATGCACTTTTCTTATTCAGACTAAACGCTTAAAGAAAAATGTAGTTGTCAGATTCAAATTACAGGATTTAAAATTTCAGTTTTACTACCTAACACATATTTTAAGGTTTTGATTTCCCATAAAGAAAATGGGGATTTCTCTGACAGAGCCTGTAGGGGTTACCATTCTTTATATTTTTAACACTTAAGTCAGAGCTGTCAGGCTGCATCCCAGGTGACCCTCTATTCCCATCAGTCACGGCCTATAAAACTTTAAGTTAAAGTTAGGAATAGACACTGTATACATGAAGTTTCACTAAATCCATGAGAAAAAGTCAAGTATAAAAGAAAGTTTGGGATGTTACTAGTTTAAATTCACTCTGTGCACCTATTGTTTTAGTGTTCTGCCATAGGAATTCAGAAAACAGAGATGGGCCTGATCTGGTAAGGACAAGACTCATAAACAGGAGTTTAGTTGGTCTCACTTTAAAATACGATTTTTAAAATCTCATCAACCTCATAGCTAAGTTTAAGAGCCGCCAAGTCCTACAGGAGTAATTACATATCAAAAAGCTGCTAAGAGAAAGCCATTTGTGCAAATCATCAAACTGAGTCATTAAGAGCTTAAAGAAGATTTTCCACCATTGCCAGATCAAACTAGCAGCATGGGGTGCACCCAGGACTTTGCTCCAGGTATCAGGCACTGCATGGGCTGTCTCGGCATTTCTATGTTTTGTTGTGCATCAGGAAGGAACACTGGACTTTCTGCTTAGTATTTTGACCGCTAACTTGGCAGTACAGAAATGGCTTTAATCTTGGTTGTTTTAATGGCTGGTATGGATACATGATCTCCACTGTTTTGTATTATGCTGTCTTTCACACCAAGACATATTTATTCAGCCATATACAGATGTACATACTCAAATTCTTTTTAAAAAAGGGCCTTACCTCTCGCATCCACTCTCGAATAGTTTTTCCAACTTCTTGATGCCACACATTGTGAACTGAGTCTGTCAATGCCACAGCAGTTACCCTATTCTTTACTTCTGCCTCTCGTTGAATCATCTGTTAAAAAAGATTGTATTTAAATTAATTGCTTTTACTGAACAGAGTCTGCTTACTCAGAGAAAATAATCTTAAATTTAAAAAGAAACAGCAATACAGATTCACTACTTGATTTCACTTGTTTTAAAGTTTATACAATTCCTAACAAGTACAGAAAAACCAGAAACACCTAATATTTTTGATAAAAAAATACTAACTTTTAAGTGACTGAACTATTCAGTCCTATTATTTTCCATGTGGCTTGACGATTCTAGGATTAAAGGTATCATAGTGAAAAAATGGAAGATTCCCTGAGGACACCTTTTACAAGCTTCTCCAAGTTCCTATTTCAGTTCTTCAGGGAAGCTGGTACCTGTGGTTCACTGTAAGGTTCTCATGACTATCATCTACTAATTTTCAGTAGATTGCTGTAGTTTTTCTGATGTACAATCTCACTTCGACTTGTATAGGTTTTTTCTTTTTCTATCCAATTTAGCTATCTTGCACGCTCACCATGGTCCCGAAATTCTTCTCTCTTCTCCCTTATTCATATGCTTACTCAGCTAACACCAAAGCCTCTCAACATTTTAAAGACCCTCTGTTATTGCAAATGACAATATGACTAAATAATATCAGTTCTAAAATTAAATTATTGCTGCAAATAACACAAGTGAACTGACAAAGATGCTGTGGAGTTCAGCACTGCTATGCAAGATAAAAGGTACTAGGAAAGAATAGTTTGATATCAAAGACAGACAAAAAGGTTTTAATCTCCTGACATGAGTGATCCTAATTTGTAACACTGGATCAAAGAAAGCACAATAAATTATACTTACAAAACCAGCATTTCACAATTGGTGTCATTATCACTGTGTATGCTGCAATAAAGTTAATGTTTTTTTAAGCTTCCCTGTGTATAAATGTAACACCTATTACATTTCTAAAAATCAAGTATTCATTCTTCATGCTCTAGTAACTGCTTATCAGCACACAGGCTGCACCTCTGAACTCACTGTTCCATGTCCTTGCCATAAGAACGACTCCAAAAACCTACCAGAAAAAAAGTTTTTTGAAAGAGACAGTATCTAAAAACAAGACCTGTCAGCTACACACACCTAACTTGCTTTAAACCCTGCTGTACATTCAATAAGTATTTTAAACAACACCTTATGCACTAATATTTTGTGTTCCAGTGCTGTGCATTCTAGCACTCATTCGGCTGCAGTGTCTTCCACAAAACACTGTGATTAAACAGGCAAAAGTGCAAAAATATCACTCTCCTTGAAGCTCACATACCTACCAATTACTCAGAGTTATTACATGCTGCGTGAAGTTTAAAATCACCACCAGCTCAGAGTATTTCAGCATGACTTCCTCCATGAACGGCTTGTATTCAGAAGCACTTTTAATGACCAGCAAAGATAAAAAATATGCTCCGCTGTGGAAAAGCAGTTTTTTTCTCAAGCTACTGTGTCCCATGTTTCTGTTTTGAAAATTAGCCATTCAGTTCATCTTAGAACATCACCTTATTCTTCAAATCACAAGAAAATACAAAGGTGCAGTTCCCTTTTTCTTTTCCAGACCTATCTCAGGTTTGCTATTCTCAATTTCCCTATGCACATGTAAGGACTGGCAGCCATTGATCACCATTTCTTTCTAATCTCTCTTCATATAGTACATACAGTCTTCACTTTTCAGATAACATATAATATATAAAAAATAATATGCAATACCCAACATGCTCCTGGTGCTTGCCATTCAGCTTTGTAGATGCCTGCAGAATCGTATTCCCTTCACAATGATCAGCAAAGTGACTGAGGCTGACAATGTGATGTTTTTTGATAACTCAGCCACAGTGCTAGGGTTAGGACAAGGTCTCATGGATGCAGCAGCAAAGAGGGATCAAAAGGAGTAACTGAGCTTCACAAACAGATTTCTTAACATCCAGCCCAGAAGAAAAAAGTTTTGGTAGGCATCCATGCCCTTCTGAGCCAACTTAGAAAGAAAGAGACAAAAACAACACATCAAGTGTGGAAAGGATTCAGGGTATAATCTTCACTTAAACAAGAAGTCTAACGTGTCCATGTTTCAATGACACAGAAATGTCACAACAGAGCATGTCAAACTGAAGACACTTTTGCTTCTATGAGAGGAGCTCAAGTTTACTGCTACAATGGGACATTCACTGATAATAATAATCAAGGAGAACAGATCCAGGTTAAGCTCAGGCAGCAGACCCTCTTATCAGGGATGATAATTTACCCTGCAAGAAGATACAAGAAGTCTATGTACTTTTGGGCATAGATACTTCAATATTCAGTAAATGCTTTGGATTCAATGGATTAATAGCTCACAGTTAGAACAATTCCTCTTTTCTAAAATCAGTTTTGAATTAAGATAAATTGTAAAAGTTAAATGAGTGGAATAAAATTGTAAAGGTAAATAGACTGACTTTAAACAAAAATGTAATACCATTCAAATTTGATGTAACATGAAGTTGTTCTAGATTTCAAGGGAAGGATACTGTGAGATGCATGATTTACATTTCCCAGTACTTGTTTTATTCCATGGAGCCTGTAGGGTCTTTTGAGGTGGACATACTAAAACTCAAGATATTTAACAGACCACAGTCTACTAAGAATACTAAAATTAAGACATTTTTCTTTAGAATAATGATTTTTTTACTGAAGCAAACAAAGGCCTAAGAAATTTTTCTGAAGTTCATTCATGGCTTATAATCTTCTTACATCAGTAAACTCCACAGACAGAAAATTTTCACAGCCTAGGAATTACTTAATTTCCTGCTCAATGCCCATTTAAAAACCGTAAATTATTCTTATCTGACTAGATTTTGCAGGAGGACAGCTCTCTCTGAACCTCATCACTGAATGGCTCACTCTCCCCTTATACTCCTTCCAATAATTCATTTACAACCAGAAGTAGGTAAAATGGCATTTCTCTACTATATGTAAATAGGATCTCATGTATTACTACATCACTCATGTTTCTGGGTCCTCTAGACTTTCCCAATATGCTTCTTTCTTTAGGCATTTCCATTTTATCTTTTTTCTTCTGTTCCTTCTTCGTAGTCACAGTAAATTCTGATTTTGTAACTTATTAACCATATTCCAACACTATATATTTCATTCCGTTAGAATGACAAGTTGTAGACCAGTTCTCCTTGCAACAAGTTAGAAAGCATTCAAGCATCCTTTTGAAAGTCCTCTTTATCTCAGTGATTGAAAATTTATTTCTTCACTTTGGAAGGGAAAATATCTTATCTAGTTGCAGAAGTATTCAGCTCTAAGAGCTACATATGCAAGAACTTGAAAATCCCTAAAAATGCATTCCTTATGTTCATACGTAATAAAAACTTATTTGTTGCTCATTTCAATAAGTAGTCTACTGCTAATCTGTAAGCTTATATTACAGTTATCATAACATTTTAATGTCAAAAGGTTGATACCTGCATTATCTGCAGTGTGTATAAATAAAACATAGCTTCACACATACAGTACCTATGCAGTATATTTAGCATTCATATATAGTCAAAACAGATGATAAAATATGCCTTTGGTATATATTTTATGCCACAATAGTCCTGTCAAATGAAAGCATGAATGTGTTAAAAGAGGACTCAAAGGTCTGATCTTGCCAACAAGACAACATGAAAATCCATGTAAGTACCAATTAGACTTACAGGTAAAGAGCTGTGGGAGTAAATCCTAGAGCCATTGATCCCATATTCTTTATACCAATTCTAACATTTAAAACAGGTAAAAATCCAAACTTCTGAAAAAAGTTAAAGTAAGTTAAAATATTTATTTATTTTTACAGGCTTTTATTTTTGCAGGTTCATACAATCAAATAAAAAACCCATCACTTCATGTTCACGGAATATTTACTCTTCTGAGTTGTCTGTAATTAGGAATGAGGAAAAATGGATTAAAAAAGTAATTAAAAACACATCCAAATTTTAATTTCTCTTGAAGTTTTGAGATAAACCATTCAGCTACTTTCTTAGTCTTCCATAGCATTTTCAGTTGTGGCATGGTGTTACATGGTATGCACTGGGCTTCAATGGGCATGTCGACAACAAGCATTTGACTTGGAGCAACATAATTTTGATGCAAGTCTTCCATTGTATCCAGCTGCATCATACTGATTTGACACTCTTAAGAAATTTTGGCATCTGCAAGCAGAACTCTTCCAGAGGAAACAACTGGAAGCCCCTGTCCAAAAGTCCTCGCTGTTTTCCAGACTTGGAATGAATTTGCAGTAGGCATTCCAGTAAAGCAAAACAGCTTCAGCTGGACACTGAAATATTTGTAAATGCAACGGTTAACAGGAGGAGAGAGGAAATCACACTATAGGAATAGTGTGCAAGAGGGAAATTTTTACTTCCTTTTGGAAAAGCACCTGGATTTCTTTGTGGTAACTTATATGCTCTCCTTGTAACTTGCTTGTTACCAGTCTACAATCAACATCCTCTTCAACCATCCTTTCACTCAGTCTCATACAAACTAATTAACTAGTCTGTCTGCCTGGCAGCACTTGAGCCTCTCCTCAGTTATGAAAAACTTCTCTTCACCAGGAAGTATATAATTCTATATTCCGTAGCGCAAGTTTGTTGGTCTGGCATTCCTAAGACCTTCCACTGCTTCTTGAATAGAATTCCTGAATTTCTGAAATACCCTAAATTTTCTGCACATCTTAAAATGGAATTAGATCCCCAAGCCCTCATAAAATATTATTCATTAGGAATTAGAATTGCTGGGCAACTATGCTCGAACAGCAGAAAGCAAAAATAATAAACAGTCTAAAGTTCTACCAGTTTTCATTTTCAATTAGCAACAGCAATCATCTTCCCTAAATGAATTTATACATGTGATAAAATCCCTACTTGCAATACACAAAGCCCCTGATACACATCAGTTTTTAAACAGCAAAAGAAAATACCTTCAAACATACAATCAGAGAATGAATGAATATTTTCAGAGTATGAGAATATTTGCTGATAT